TATATTTTATTTTTATTTTTATTAAAAAATCCACTTTTAATCAGAAGTTTATAAAATACCTTTCTGTGTGGCCCTGGTGAGCTTGGCTGGAAGTCCAGGGCAAGATAATCCACACTCCCCGAACTCTTTTTAGGTGCTGGGCTGTTGGTGCCACTAGGAACAGGAGAAGCAGAAATGGGGTTTTGCTAATGCAGGGAAGAGACAGGAGAAATAACGAGAATTAAAATGGGAAGAAGAGAAGAAAAACAGGAATTAACACAAATTTGGCAACAACATGTCTCAGTGGCACTTTTAAAAGAGGTCCCAGCCCGGATATGTGCTCACCTGCCTCTCTGAGACCAAGGTGTGCAGACCACTCACTGGGTTACTGTATATATTGTATACTGTGCTAACAAATATTTCAAGCTCATGCTCTTGATTTTATGTGTTGGAGTAGTTCTGCTGCCTTTGTGCTGATATTATTCACATGCCTGACATGAGACGTGGCCTTCAGCATTTCCCAGGAACCACACCTCAGCGAGACCAGACCAGCTCTGGGACCTTCACTAATCACAACCACGCTACACAGAGCACAGATCTCCTCTGTCCCCCTTAGTTACACAGCCTCAAAAATATGCTTCAAGTCAGCAGCTTTGCAAAGAGAGACAAAATCCCCTCCCTGTAAGCAGTGCCACTCCCTGCTGCTGTTCTGATAGCCCCTGCCCTTCACATAAACACGATGACAGAAGCTATTAGGGGAGAAAAAACCCTGAAAAAAATCAACTTAAACTAGGAAAATAGACTGCAACAGCCCACAGATGTTTTTATCCCCCTCTTAAATCCTGGAAAAGTAGATGATATATGTTTCTGCTCTCATATACAGCTAAAACCCCAATGGGACATGTCATTTTAGGAATGAAAGTTACTGTTTTGTGCATGTAGGGATGTATGCAAGGATGTACACCACATTCATCATGGTGCTATCTGAGCACTTCCATGTCACGAGGTAGGAATGCGTTTGCAGAGCTGGGGAATGTATATGTCCTGCCAGAACCTTATATCTGAGCTGTGGGGCCCTTACCATTGCCACGTAGTTCTCCTCGCTGTCTCCCGAGTCAGTGCTGGTGATGCTCTGGGAGGAGACAGGGCGACAGTATTGCAAAGAGCCGGCGTTGAAGCTCTGGCTGCAAAGACAAGGGTCTTTGTGTTAATGATGGTTGCAGGTGCTGAGTTTGATATTCTTGTTTTGAGGTTTTTGGGTTTTGGTTTTTTTTTCCTAAGACTTTTTAATAATATCTTGCTTGCTATGTACCCACAACTTTCTTGCTATCAGCTACATAAATCAGGCTCTATGAACTCTTCTATCTCACAGGAAATATTTAATTGTTGAGGATGCAGGGCCAGCCTCAGTGGAGCTTCTCACCTCCAGCCTCACCACAGCTCCAGGATTTGTTTACTGTGCAGTGCTTTATCCGAATTTTTTGCTGGAAAACAAAACCTCTGAGGCATTGTCTTGCTTTCAGTTGGTCAAATCTAATTACACAGAATAACATAATGCAATCAGCATCTGGCATTAAAGCTTGCATCTTAAAAAACTATTTGTTGCCTTGCAGTAAAGGCAGGGTCATATGATTAGCTGATAAGGGAAAAATCCATTAGCTTCTCCAGGGTCGGACGTCTTGTCAATCAAACCCCACTCGCTGCTTCCTGGTGCAGCGATTTCAGCACACAGCGCTCATGCCCTGCAGTCAGTCTCCACACAATCCAATTTATTAGAGGAGTCATAGCAGCCAAGCTTTGCTTCTGCCTTTCATTGGACAACATCAGACCATGAATTAGCAGAACTGGAATTGTGTGAATCCTGTTATTTTTGGCTGGCAGACTTTGCTCTGAAGTGCTTTGGTTTCATTTTGCAGACTTCCTTCAGGCTAGGCTTTGCTTTCAAGGCAATCAAAACACAACTCGGGCAGACCCTGCGAGTGTCACCCTGTGTTTTGAGACTACAGTGGGGTTTTGGGGAGCAAAGCTGGATGTGAAATTGTGCCCTGTGCCCCCGGTGTCGGGGTATCTCAGCTGGGTCATGAGTCACGGTGGACCACAGGTCTTGTGTCAGAGCCACAGCTCTCTGGGTGGTGTCAGAAATCCCAGAAATACCTTCAAGGGATCTTAATTAGCTGCTTAGCCACATGCTGGGCTTTCATGTGAAAATCCGACCTAAACAAATTTATCATCCTGCCACTGGCTGTGAGGTGGAGAGTACAACTCCGGCTCTTACAATGCTTGCCTAAGCTCATGAGGGGCCCAAGAGAGGAGCCCCTCTGCTTCGACAGCATCTGATCCAAGTCCTAAGCCTGGCCATGAAGTGACCACAGAAACCCCTGAGACCTGAATTGCCATTGTGTGGCAGAATATTTTAGGAAAGATTTATTCTATAAATGTCCCTCTTCCCAGACAGCTCTTGCTGGTCCCTGATGGGGGTAGGGTGTCGGGCAATGTGGACTTTCATCCCAGTGGAGATGTTTGCATGGCATGATCCAGCTCTGCAGCTCCTGTTTCTAAAATTGACAACACAATGAGGGCTGAAGGGATCATCCAGTTTCGGGGGAAAATTTAGCTTTGCATCCAAAGTCTGGGCTCACTTCTAGCTTGATTTAAGACGGCTGATGAGAAACATGACCCTTCAACAAGAGATGATGGGTCGGAAGAAACCTCTGCAGCGAGCAGAGGCAGAAGGGCAGCCAATATCCCCCGTAAACTCAGCCAGAGATGTTTAATGCATGGCAGAGGTGACAGTGAGGCTACATGTAGACAACAGCGAGAGTGAGACCAGAGATGTGCTGTGAGAGCAAAGCAAGAATTCACACCCCAACCATTACTCACGTTGGCCTGGACCAAGATTTTGTGACTGGTGATTTGAAGGGTAGCTCATCAATGACAGTGTTGTTCCTCAGGTCCAGTGGCGATGGCTTTGCTGTTTTATTCAGAGGCACCATGTTCCTACAGTTAAGTGTCCATGACTGGCACGAGAGAGGACGGTCCCCAACATCTTGCTGTTTGCTTCCCATTCTGTTAATGAGATCCCAGCCCTCCCTGCTGATGACAAACAACCCCAATCAAAATCCCTGCACTCATTTACGACAGGACTGGAGCAATCAGTGAATTTCTACCTTGGACCTACAGCCTCAAAGTGGATGGGTGGCCCTAGAAGGGCAATGTGCCTCCCAGGGAACAGATATCTGCTAAAAATGCCCAAATCCACGTATAATAAAAACATTCATTAGGGATCTGTGATAACCCATTAGATGGGGACAAGACCAGGTTCTGCCAGCTCTGAGCTGCCTCCGGCCAGAGCATTTTCCCATAGGAAATGGGAAGAACATCTGCATGGTAACATGAAAGCTCTTTTCATCATGAGTGGTTCATTAGGTGGAAGACCCCTGTGCTCCAGTCACAGCCCTCGGCTAGCACATTGATGGGGTTAGGTGCTGACACCCCAATGATGGGAGCCTTCCTCCTTGGCATCTCCTTGGTGGCGTGTTGGGCAAAGGCCTGAGGGAAGAACTGCCTAGAGCCAGCCAGTAGGAAACAATAGGAGAAATGTGGGTCATCTGAATACAATACAGAGATTTTGGAGTGGAGCATAGGGAGAGGTGCAGGCAAAGGGGTAGCATTCTGCCTCTGACATGCATCTCCTTTCAAGGCCAAGAAGGGCCTGAGATAGGCTGTTCAAGCACTACGAAAGTTGCATTTGCACCATGGTCTTCTTGAAAAAAGAAGAGGATGGGGAAGATCTGAAGATCTGTGCTGTGGTAGCAACTCACACCCTGCATATGACTGTACTGAGTGTGCACAAGACAACAGTTGTAGTCTGAAGTATTACAAGAATAGAAGAGCACCTGGAAAGTTTTGCCCAAAACCAACTGTGCTTACCTTTACGGTTGGGTTTGAGGTTGCGGTTGACTGGAGGGGGCTGGATTTCGCTCAACCGTCTGTGGCACTGCGCCATGGCTCCTCCTTTATGCACAGGAAGGGTGGCCGAGGACAACCCTACCAGGTCAAAGTGATGCGGCCCAGGGCTCATGGGGATGTAGAGATTTTGGGCATTGTCATTGGCTTTCTCAGCATGGATCAGGGGTGAGGAACCAGGGTTCATGGGGACGTAGTTGTCCTCAGAGTCGGTGCTGTGGGAGCGGGCCACCGCTGCCTTGGCTTGCTGGAGGACAAGTGGGAGGACATGCTGTGAGCATCAGACACTGCCCAACACCATCCCACTATTAACTCCTTCATCTCATTGTCAACAAACATGCACCCAAGGTGGCACCAGGTCTAAAATCTCAGCACAGAGGGAAAGGATGGTCTGTCTCCTCTCTCCTCCCCAGTGCCTCCACTGTCTCCAAGACACTGCAACAGCCTGAGTTCATAGAATTAATTGCCCAGACCTGAGCTTCTTCTCATGATCAGAGTGAGCTGTAGAAGCATGCTTAACCTGGAAAGAAACTTTTCCCTGGGCTCTGGCCATGACTAAAATGCAATATGAAAGGCTGTTTTAATGTCATTCCCATCTCAGGAAGTCTTAGTACATGAAAGAGGCTGTTCTGGCAACATGTCAAAATTCAGCTCAGTAGCATCCCAGGCTTTCAGGAAGAAGCCAAATTCCTGGGTGCTTTTTTTGGGTCAAAGCTCTGTGGAAGCACCCAAAGCCAAGCTCTGCATGTGGTGCTGGGTTAGGTGGTTGTCCCTCCATCTCTATCCTGCAGGACACCATGGTTTTAACTGAAATCAATAATAAAACCCTTCTTGATCTAGCTTTGTTGTACTGGGCTGTGAGGTCCAACTGCCTCTGAATCTATGTGGTGCAAACAGTGCCTATGGTGTGGTGGTTGATACCAAAGTCAACTCACCAGGTAGGAGTTGTATCCATCGTTCATCGACTCGACTGACTGCACAGAGCTGCCACCCCCATGCTGGGGGTACTCGTACGTCTCACAAGAAGAAGCTGCAACACAACCACAAACGCATAACATGTCCCAGCACTACTAATAATAGGAGCCCTAATAAAAGGGGCCCCTGAAAACAAAATCCAGGTACTGGGAGGGTGGTGTCTATTCTTGATGATTGAGATGCTGGTGCGAAGAGTTGTAGGACGTCACAGACTCCTGTCTATGTTCCCCACCTATTAGCATCTCTCTGACACATCGATGTAACTGCACGTGCTGCACGGACCTAACCTGGTTCTGTCAAGGTGTTACAAAATCCCAGGGGTGAAGGCGTCAGATAAGGTAGATCACAGTGACAAAACTGGGTTAAAAGGAAGCCCTGTTACAGCTCGCTCAGCAGAAGTAAGGACTAGCAGCCTCCAATAATGGGAGGATGGAGTGAGGATGAAGCGTGAAGCTCTTAGACTGGTATATCTACTGCTGAACTTGGGGCTGATTGCAGCTTAAATGTTGAGGTTTAGGTAGGAGGAGATGGAAGAGGCTTTTAAGGGAGCATTGTATATAATTTACAGTATTTTTTCTCTCCAACTGCCCCTTCTAAGTTACATTGCCTCTGTATTAGTCTAGGCACAAGGTTTGGAAAGGGCATGCTCATCCACGGCCCATCCATGACCAATGCGAAGGTTGGCTCTGTTGCACTGTGGGTATTGGATCTTGGAGATGTGCAAAATTATGTCCCTGTTTGGTGAGCAAAACCAAGGTAGCTCCAGGCTGAAGTGCATTTTGATAACCCTGGTTATGAACTGAACTAAAAGCAAGCCAAAAAATGGCTGAAATCACCAAAATCTAGTGAAGGGCTGCACAGACAAGCAGATTTGGTGTTTTGGTTCAAGTCACAACACCAAGAGCCAGCTGAGCAGCTTGGGTGGACAGAGTCCTGGGGATGCCTCTCCATGCCCATTGCATACAAAAAGCAGGGCTGGTTTCTCACCAGGGAGACCTTCTTTGTGTTCAGTCTCCTGGCTGATGCCAACAGCCACCCCAGCCCTACCACAACCCAATGGGACCACCTCATTCAAGGCTGCCAGATAGGACTATAAGCCACCCCCTGCTCCCCACCCCCAAATTCACCTCGGTGCAGCCTGCTGTTCTCCACTGCTGGCAACGTGTTTCTCCGGGGAATAGTGGCTGCTGTGGGGCCCAGTCCTAAGCTTTCACCAGGCTGGGGCCGCTGGGGTGGGCTGCCCCACCGTGGCTCCATCTGTCCAGGTTTTGGGGGCCGTGGGGGTGGTGCAGCGGGTGAGTCACTGGCGGCCATGGCCAGAGCATTGTGGTTCTTGTCCAGTGTAAATGTCCTGGGGATCTGGTAGATGGAGAGCGGGGTGGCAGGGATGTCATAGGAGTCTGTGGAGAGCTCCCCAAACTCCTTGCATAGGGTGTTGTTGGGAGTCTTGTAGGTGTAGACCTCCTCATTATCTGTTTCGGAGCTGGTGAGGCTTGACTTGGGGTGGGTGTAGGAACCAAAGGCGCGCGGGAGGTCATATGCACTGTCCCTGAACTCCGAGTTGTGCCGGCTGGGTTTCGGCAGGCTGTAAAAGCCATGGAGCTGCCCGCTGACCCCATTCATGCAGTGTCCGTTGCCCTGTGAGAGTTTCTGGACAGCCGTATCACTCCGCATGAAGAAAGCAGACCTTGAGGCTTGGGAGAAGCTGGCACTCCTGTGGAAGAAGGGGAGAAGGGGGCTGAGAGAGGGGGAGAACCAGTCCTGGGGTGCACTGAGCTCTGCTTCCCCTGTCTGTCACCATCCCAACCTGCATTGCCTAAGTCCAGGGCAACAGGAACATCTAAGACCCCTCCAAGTATGCCCACAACCCATTTTGTACTGAAAACACCTTCAAAATGACCCTGTCACAGGTGGGAGTGCCAAGCTCCATGATCGGCCAATGGGCAGGAACAAGCCTTTTATTCAGACATAAATTGCTCCAAAAGAGGTTTTTTTGCATCAGCTGACAGCGACCCAAGACATGGCTTCAAAGCACTCCCCCATCAGCATCACCATCATGCAGCATCCGTGCTGCAGAAGGAAGGCTTAATTTCACCTCTGCCTTGCAAATGTGTTTGAAAGGGACTGGAAAAATTCCTGATGGGGATTATTTCAAAGCCTCCAGCCATGTCACCACCCTTCCCTCCTGCAGGGCAAGCCCCAAGGAGATGAGGACGCTCCCCAGATGGGTCTTGCAGCCCTGATCCACAAGGGAGGAGGAATGAACCTCAGGGTTGAATTCAGATTTATAAAAGCCCTTCAGTGCTCTGAGTTGAGTGGGGCAGTGTGGTCATTAGGTCCATGTCTTGCTAACGACTCCTTGATTTGTATTGTGGTCATGCCTAGGGACACCAGCCAGAATAGAGGGCAAGCACTGGGGAGACCTCAGTCCTCTAACAACTGCTCGTTAGCCACCCCTCCTCTGCCAATTCCCTCTGAGGTGTTTCATCAACTGTTTCATCCCTCCGGCTGCTTTCTCTTTCAATGCTCCAACATTGCAGAAGATGATGACCCCCATGGGCTTGGCTTTCTGAAGCCCTAACCTCAGTAGACGACATTTTCTTGAGTCAGGGAATGTTTGAATTGGCCACTTGGACTCTTCTCTACCCCTGTCTCATCCCTCATCCCACAAGACTTGAGGAAACGTTAAGCATCGCTGTGCGAGCACTGGGACATGAGGGCGAGATGCAGCAGAGCTGAGCATGAGCTGAAGCAACGTGGAAGAAGAAAATTCAGGAAAGCTCCAAACAAGGACTACCCTGCCATAATGAGCTAATGCATTCACCAGGAGAAGGTGACAGATAGCCTTTGGCTGAGTCTTTTTGCTCACAGAGGCATAACCATGCGTGGGTGAGACTTTTAGGGACCATGTTCTCACAGCCTGAGAGGACTCAGTCAGCCGCATTTAAACATCTCCCTGTGGAGAAGAGTTCTGCCCTGTACCAATCACCACACTGGGCAAAAGTGAAATGGTTATGGGGGCATTTCTAGTTGTGGTAAATCACTGGGGAAGTGCCAGCCCTCTGGGAAAAGCTGGGAGATGTGGTTTTACACTGCTCTGGCGGGATTGATGCTCTGCAGGGACAACAGGGACTCTGTTTTATGAAGTCAGCACGAGATGGCACTCAGAAACAGGGCTTATTTGGGGAAAAAAACCAAGTGATGCTGCGATATGACAAATGAATCCCTGCTGCCTTTGGAACTCAGTCCGCCTGGGAGATGTTTGGGCTCTGGGCAGGATCCTTTTGGCCAAAGACTCGAAGCATGTCATGGGTTAATTATTCAGCATCGCCCGCCAATTAGCTACTATTACCCTCATTTTATGGATGAGTAAAGGAAGAGCTCTGGAGCTGAAATGGGAGGGATTCCCAGCAGTCCTGCAGCCTGGCCCCATTCAGTGGGCATTGATCAGGGTGATTATTTCTGGCCCAGCTGCAGATGCAGCCGCTGGCCAGTTTGTCTCTGCCCACCAAAGCATCAGTGCTTGTTCCCTCCTCCTTTGGGACCCATCTGTGCTCAGGATCTCGGAGGGAGGCTTTTAGGTATCCTCACAGCTGGAGTGTCAGAGGGCCTTTTTTTAAACACTGTTCCATTAACTCCATCTGAAGTTAATTTTTCTGAGCCTTTTTCTGTTGTTGTTTTTTGGGTTGGGAAAGGCAGCTGCAGCAGGAAAGCCCAGCGGAGGCTGCATCTCAGGCTCTGCTCTCACTCCACACCAGCTGGGCTCCGATCGCCTCTCCCTTCTCGCCACTCTTGTGAGCCAAAACTCTTCACACCAAAAAAGCTCCTCGCTATTTAAGGCAACTGGTCAGGTCTGGAGGCGGAGAGCTGTCGCTCGCTCAGAAATACCATGCTGCACGTCACGGGCTGCTGAGAAGCCCAGCAAGCTCTGGGCTACAGCAGCGATGAACAGCAGAGTGGTGCAAACCCTGCCCATCTCTCTCGTTGTGTTTGGTTATTTTCTGTTTTTGTTTTTGTTTTTTTTTCTGGTTAAAGGCAGGAATTAGGCTCCAACTGCAGGGTCAGAGAGTGGCTGAGGTTGGAAGGGACCTCTGGAGGTCATTTGGTCCAACACCCCTGCTCAAGTAGGGCCACCCAGAGCCAGGTGCCCAGGACTGTGTCCAGGAGGCTTTAGAGTATCTCCAAGGATGGAGACTCCACAATGTCTCTGGGCAATCTGTGCGAGTGCTCAGTCACCCTCACAGTGAGAAAGTGTTTCCTGATGTTCAGAGGGACCCTTCTGTGTTTCAGTTTGAGCCTGCTGGATCTTATCCTGGCACTGGGCACCACTGAGAAGAGCCTATTTCCATCCTTCTGGCATCCTCCCTTCAGGTATTCATATACATTAACGAGTTCCCCACTGAGTCTTCTCAGCCTTTCCTCTTAGGAGAGATGCTTCAGTCCCTTCAGCACCTTCATGGCCTTTTCCTGGACTCTCTCAAGTTTGTCCATGTTTTTCTTCTACTGAGGGGCCCAGCACTGGACCCAGTACCCCAGGTGTGGCCTCACCAGTGTTGAGTAGAGAAGAAGGATCACCCGCCTTGATCTGCTGGCAATACTTGGCCTAATGCAGCCCAGGATACCATTTGCTTTCATGGCTGCAAGGGCCCATTGCTGGCTTATGTTCAACTTGGTGTCCACCAGGACCCCAAGGTCCTTTTCTGCCAGGATGCTTTCCATCTGGGTATCCACCAGCATATACTGGCACCCGGGGTTGTTCTTGTCCAGCTGCAGGACTTTACACTTTTCCTTGTAGAAATTCATGAGGTTCCTGCTGGTTAATTTCTCCAAACTGTTGAGGTCCCTCTGGTGTACCAGCATGACCCTGTGGTATATCAGTCACTCCTCCCAGCTTGGTATCACCAAAAAACTTGCTGAGGATACATTCTACCCCATCACACAGATTATTAATGAAGATGTTAAACAGGACTGGACCCAGTATTGACCCATGGGGTACACTGGTAGTGACTGGCCTCCAACTAGACTTTGAGCCACTCAACACCACCCTCTGGGTCTGGCCATTCAGCCAGCTTTTAATACAAACCAGCCAGCCAGGAAAGCCAAGAGCTTGGAAGGTGACTGTTCTGACCTTCTCCTTCTAACTATGGTCAGATAAGACCATTGCTCAGGGCTTTCTCCAGCTGAGTTTTTCAGACCTCCAAGGATACAGGTGGGTTGAGCTGCTCACCCCCAGTCCTCCCTCAGCTGTCCCCAAGGTTTTCTCCTAGGAAGGCTACAATACCTTGCGTTTTCTGACTTTCTGCTCATACACTGATGGAGGAAAAGGTAGTCCTGGGGGGCACTGGCAGACAGGGTACTCTGGAGGTGGCTGGCGGGCGAGTCGAAGGTGAACAGGGTGGGCTGGCTGGAGTGGGACGGTGCTGAGGACTTGCGCTCTCGCAGGAGGTGGTGGCTGGCACCGCTGAGCTCTGCTGGGGAGGACCGTGGCGCGTGGTTCATGGAGGTGATGCTTCTCAGGGTATCTGTGAAGGGAAAAAACACACTGGTGAGTGGCTGGATTCAGTGACCTCGCAGTCTGTGTTCCCACGATTTTCCTTACTTAAATGCCCCAGCATTTATGGAGGTTGGTGGGGTTTGCTTATGGCTTGAAGTGATGCACTCAGCAGCAGGCTCTTCGACTTGGAATGCATGCAACTATCGATACCATGGAGGGAAATAAATATTTTATCATATTTCATAATTTTATCATATTTTATTGCATGTTTAGTGGCTTGCAGGGATGTCTGGGAGACACGAGCCCAATTCACAGGGAGCTCAGTGGGTCGTTAAAACCTAATTAAAAAGGAAAAGGAAAGAAGAGCTTTCACACCGCAGTTTCTGTTTCTGTCTTTTCTTAGAGATCTTCTGTAGATGGCTTTAGTGACATGACTTAAGTCATCCCCATCTGTGTAAGGGCATCACTGCTATCCTTTTACAGTTGGGTAAACTGAGGCACAAAGTGTGAATGTGGTTGGACATAATGACAGCAGAGATTAAAAATATTCCCATGCTCCCCAATTCTCTATTCATTCTGTGACCTCAAAAGAATGCTTATTGTTTCCTCTAGTAAAATGGGATGGAGACCCAAGGCATGACTCCTAGCACCAGCTCTCCTTGCTCAAGGAGAAATACACTTTAAAATATTAATTTAATTTCAGTAGTGAACATCCCAGAGGTCAGGAATAATCACCCAGCTATTCCAGCTCTTTAGGAAGTGTGCTCCAAGAAGCTGAACTGGGGATGAATTTTTACAGCCAAGCTGTAAACCACTGCAAAATAAAACAAAAGCAAACTCCCAAAAACCCACAAGCTGCAGAATATTTTGTGAAAGCTGGTCCATCTCTGGCTATAGGCGGCCATGCAGAAGACCATGCATGGTCTCTCTGCCACACATGCACTCCCAGCATGTGAAAACCACTCACTGGTTCAGTGGTTCACTGAAGTAACCCTTTAAAATAGCTGTGATTTACATTTAGTTGAGGCTGATGCAAAACACAGAGAAAAACCAAACCCTAACAAAAAGGCCATCTTTCCCTGGGTGAATCCACCCATTTACTGTCCACCACTGATTCAGGGATTGCTCCCAGATTTTCCCCAACACAATGTCCACCTGCTCCTCAAATTTGACTTCAAACACCTATAAGGGAACCTGCTCTGACACAAGGATGAGGGGGATTTTATGGATTTCCAAACTCTTTTTTCCATTCCTTCTCTCAAATCCCAGATCCTGCCAGAAATTTTGGGCCTGGCTCTCTTATGCTGCAGAGAAATAAGTGCTCCGTGAAATGGCTGTTGTGACTTGGACAAGGAGATGCTTCACACGGGGTGATTTTTCACCGCCTTCTGAATCGTGTCAAGATACAAAATCGATCTGTCTGCCACTCATTCGCTGCTGCTACATTTTTTTTTTCCTGGAATTACTGCATACTTCACCCAATGCAGGAAAAGTACATTAATAGAAGCCAGAGAGCGTGGCTTGACTCTCTTGTTTGGTTTGTGCTAAACACAGAAAGGATCAATATTTAACATTGACATTAATGGTGGGGGATTAAAGCTTAAAACTGTGATTCCTGTTTTCTTTGCATGGGCATTAAAGATCCCTCTGTGCCTTTCACAGGAGTAAGTGGCCATCTCGGTGTCCTTGGACAAATCAGTGCCTTGACCCTCATTAAATATTTATCCTGTAGTAGTGCAGACTGATCCCTATTGGAAAAGGAGTCGTGAGAGCTCTGTTGAGTTCCAAATCATAGTCTCAAGTGATCTGAGGTCAACCAGTGTTGGTAGAGCCCATACCCACACTGCTATCAATAACAGGGGGGATGCACTTATAGTGCGTCTTGGGAACAACCCTTTCGTCTTGCTGCCTCCTGAATCACAGCCAGGAATTGCCCATGACACTGGGCTTTGGTCAAGGCTCTTCCAAGGATGGTGTGAGGATGGCAGGTTGGTGCTGTGTTCCCATCCCAGAATTAAAATAGTCTCTATGCCCACTCACTATCCTGTCAGGCTCTGCACTTGTCAACGCCTGGAAACTCCACAGCAGGCCAAAATACACCTGGGAGTTAGAAATTAGTTCCACTTATTTGTGCCAACACAGCCTAAGGGGAGAGCTGGGGCTGCACAGAGGACATGGTCCCCAGTATCACCTCGGGGCATAGCAAATTCAACTCACAACAGCTTGAGGAGTCCACCCTGCCAAAAGACACTCATCTTTTCCCAAAAATTAGTCTGATTTGTGGAAAATGGAGAGTGCGGTGCAAAGGATATGCTCATTGAAGGCAGGATGAATTACTCCACCATCACTCTGACTGCATAAAGAAAATGGGGGACGAAGGGGAGCAGGCAGCAATGCCTGGTAAAAGCACGTCGCTTCCCTGGGGGAAGCCGCTCTATTGACATACACATCGATTTTCAGAATGAATTCCCAGCTCGCTTCCCACAGCGACCCAGCCACTGAGACCATTAGCGGGAGCGAATTCAGGACTCACGTACACCATTAGGTCTGTGAGATGAACTCCATAATAGCAGGTGAGAGATGGATTGTTTCGCAGGCCTGGGAGGGTATTGCGAGGGCTGGGAAGATAAATAGTGTGGCTGCAGAAGTGGACTGCCAAGATTGCTCTGTATTCTTTAGATTTGTTTTTTTTAAAATTATTTTTTTATTTTCACTAGATAGAAAGGGCAGCTTGTGCACCCAGGTCACATGCTGATGACGGATCTTGCTGGGGTGCAGAAAAGGGGACAAGAAAGGCAATTGAGGCAGAAAAACAGTATTTGATGACTAGTACATGCTAAAGGGAAAAGTCAAGACATCTGTGCTCTCCAATTGGCCTGATATGGAGAGAGGTCACCATGAGGGTAAGGCGTACAAGGTAATTTATGAGCTAGAGGTCTCCAAGCCATTTCAACTCGCTCTGCCACAGCACCTGGCTCCCAGGTGATGAGGACCAAGGCTCTTTTCCCATCTCCATGTGGGGCACTCAGTAAAAACCTCCTGGGGTCCCATCCAGATGCCTCCAGGCATCATCCCCACCTGCATCATGAGCAAAGATGCTCAACTCAGTCCAGCCACAAGCCCAAAAGAATGATGCTTCTTCATTGCTCATGGCCATTCACCTTGGGGCCATGGATAAACCCATGGCTCTCCTTTATTTAACAGCACAGACATAGCCCCAAATCCCTTGGTTTTATGTTGAGATCCTGAGCTTATGGTAAGGGAATGTATCAAATACAGCCAAGGAGGGATAAGATCCTGTTCCAGTTCCTATTGGCATTCCCAGGGGGCAGAGTTAAGGTTATGTAGGTGGGCCATGTGGGAAATGTCATCTTAACCCCACATTTCCTTGCCAGTTCTCCTCTGAGTTTGGGGAATTGGACTCTCATGGTCTGGAATAGGCAGCTTTGGACGTCCACAACTAAAAATTCGATGTCAGCAACATGACTTGCATGTGTACGTCTTGCTGGGCTCATGCCACAGCTGTTGCTCTGGTCCCTGTGAGAAAGCAAGCCAGAGGCTTGGCAGGAATGAGCCAGCACAGCCCTGCAAACTCCCACGATGCTGGGTAGGCTTTGGTCAGCTGAAAGCTTGGTACTCACTAGTCCAGGTGAGCAAAGGTGGAAAAACGCTCCTTGCAACTCCATCCTGAAGCAAAAATATGCAACTGCAAGCACAGCCGGCAATGGGACGCACTAGGCTGGGAGCCAGGAATTTATTATTAATGTTTTCAATCTCCTAAAGCTGTATTTCCCTCCTTGCTGACAGCTCTGCATTCCCTTGCTCAGAGCACTTGACTATTGCTGTGTGAACACAGCTCCATGCAATGTTCCAGGGTTTATCTGAGTGAAAAAATTACTCGGTGTCCTCTGGAAACTGTTGCTTAGAATGGCCTTTTCCACTGGAGCAATAATGTCAGCTTTCCCCTCCTGAAGGCAGAGGTTGAGGCTACAACTCCCTGTAACCCATGGACTTGAAATAATGCCCGTGGGAAGTACCTAAATTCCCACGATGGTCACAGCAAAAGCACCAGGTTTGCTTGGCCTCCCTGAACTGCACAAAATTCCCCACAATACTGACACCATGCTGGCAAGGGCAAACTGGTCCAAGGAGCCTTGCAAATGTGGGCTCCTCCAATCTGCCCAGGTAAATAAGGCCATGAAACACCTTGGACTGCACCACTGACTTTGTGCCAGTTAAAACTTATGGCTGATGATATTCTTTTTCAGGAGACAATAGTAGAAATCTGCTAGAAATAATCCCTAGGTGGGCACAGGGAAGAGCATGCTCATGTGTTATTGTCTTTCCCACTCCTTGGAGAAGCTCTGTCATTTATTAGCAAAAAAAGGGGGAACCTTCTCCAGTGGGAATTTGCCTGCACCTCCGCTTTCGCTGCCAGCTTACTCCTCAAGCATAAATACAGAAAATAATCAAAAAATGACAATCAACCCTACCAAAACAAGCCCTCCGTGTGCGTCTCTTGGCAGGGAGAGAACAAACAACATGTCTGATGGGTGAGTCACTGCATGACGGTGCTGCCAGGAGCCCTGGGATGCCATGAGGATGAATGTGGCACCCGAGGAAGGTTTATTTACTGAGCTTTCCCTATTGACTAAGAGTTGGATGGCATTTGGAAAAGCTGTTGTCAGTCTGAGGACGCTTTGGCAGGTTGCCTGCTAAAGGTTTCCTCCAGCAGGTTAGGGGGAAAGGGCATCTGGTTTGGATAATTTCCTCTCTCTGGTTTCCATCAGGGTGGGGTGCTGCATGCAAGGACACAGGTATCTTAATATTCACCACTGTTCAAATTTTGGGTGCCAAGCAAGGCAAGTGGAGCTCCCCAAAAGTGAGGATGGGGCAAGGTAGAGCTTGCCATAGCTGCATCCTCCACTACAGAGCTGAAGGGTGGGGACAGAAATGACATTGGAATTTTAAGCTTTTCCTTTCCAGTTTCTGCTGCTTATTTCCATTTGCTTTGAGAAACTGGTCTGG